CGGCGAGGTCTATCGCGATAGCTTAATTTCTCTATCGAGTAAAAGTTATATCGCGATTCATATCGTTATCGTTCTATCGCCCAGCTCTAGGTAATCGTGTCGTATCAGAACTGGGGTAAAAAACAAAACAAAACTGGATCCGTGCATCAGTATTGGCGACTGATAGAGAGAACTAGAGTTTGGGACTCATAAAAGCAGAAGATGGTTGTTGTTGTTGTTGTTTTTTTAATGAGCTGCATAGTCATCGTTACAAAGACAAAGCCTTGACTGTAAGTGGAGTGCATGAGGAAGAATGACAGAGAATTATGTGTCACTGCATTGATAAAGTTTTGTTGTATGAGTTCATAGGTAAAGAATAGTGCTGAATCACTCGCTATGCAAGGCATTGATGTACGTATGTAGACCGAGCAGAGAAGCGGAGTTTATCAGTATGAAACAAACACATGCTCTCTCTCTTTCTCTCCCCAGCTGTCAGCTGAACCAACTGCTTCTTAGTAAGTAAACAAACAAATAGGTGGGCATCCTCAAGGAAGGCTTCTCCAGAGAAAACAACGAAACACCGCTACCACTTCATTCCTAAAGGCTCAACTGCCTCACCTAGAGTCTCGGACTCTGAATAGCTCTTTTGAAGACAGCTTTGATTATTACTTTTTGTAACAAAGCAATAGATTTTATTTTATTTTTTTATCACTGTGCAAGATTGATCTGCACAGTTTGTGAATCTGGCACAGCTCTTGAGTTGTTTGATTGAAGACTTTTTGAGCAGTCAAAATATATTTGATTAGAAGGCTCAGAGGAAGACAAGATAACAGAGACGTACTGCAAACTGACTGTTTATATTGCTGGGTATGATTAATACGTTTCTGCTGAAATAATAGAGAAGTGGAAAGGAAAGCAACTGTGTTGCCAACACAAACAACTGATCTGAGTCTGGAGCAGTTCTTACTTTGCCTGCTATTCTCTAACTCTTTCTCTGAAAAGTTAACCTTCAAACAAAACCAGAGGGACCCTTAATTCAAGGCATTTTAATTATGTTGGAACTGCAGCATATATTAGTACATGCAGCCATGAGTGGCAGCCTTGCATTCAACGCTCTAGTAATGCCATAATGGGGCGAATGGCTGGACTGAAGTACTGAACATAGCAAGGAAATCCCCATGTTTTTATAAACCAGACATAACTCTTTTACTCATAGAAAAGTCAGGAGGGCCTGGAGCTTTCTGTGTGGCTGTCTACCAAATTCCTCAAATTAAATTCTTTTATTTCGACCCATGCCTGCATGTGGTGCAAGGATGCCCCATAACGCCGTCCACTGTTCTTGAGAAGGCGACCAAAGAGGAGGAGAAAGGGTAGGAAATGACGGAGTGTTTGACAGAATACAAAGCGCTGGTGACTCCGTCCACGCGCAATGGTCACCGCGTCTTCAGCTACACGCTCGAGAGCCACACGTCAGCCGCCTTCGCCATCATGAACGAGCTGCGGCTGGAGCGGCAGCTGTGCGACGTCACGCTACGCGTGCGCTACAAGGACCTGGAGGCGGTGGACTTTGTGGCTCACAAGGTGGTGTTGGCCTCCTCGTCCCCGGTCTTCAGGGCCATGTTCACCAACGGCCTAAAGGAGTGCGGTATGGAGTTGGTGCCCATCGAAGGAATTCACCCCAAGGTTAGTCTGTTTTATCCTTGCCTGAATGTTTTGTTTGATTTGTACTCATTTAAATGTAGCTGTAGTATTGTGTTTATTTGTTGACTTCCGAATAACTAAATGGGAATCGAGTTACTCCTCTTTCAGCATAAACCGGCCTCACATTATTACAAGGAAAATCCAGTATGTATGGGAATTGTAACTTTAAAACCAAGCTGTATACCACAATGGGCTTTTCCAGCATTGTTAGAAAAAAATGGCTCCACTCCCACAAAAATCCTGCACTGCTTTAAAGTGAAACAGAAAGTCAGAATTGCTTTAAAACCCATACTCAGATGATCATACCTTTTATAGATAACACCATCCACTGTTTTTCTTTATCATTTATCTTTGTACAAGTGCAATTAAAAGTCAAAACTAAATGAATATCAGCCTTACATCACACTGATTATTAACCAAATGGGTTATTCCAAGCATCTTGGAGGGTTTGCTACGATGCCTGCCCTTTTTAGTTGCTCTGTAGGACTCCTCCTTGTTGCTATATGACTGCATATTTGGATTTTACATTTTCTACATCACACTTTATGATTGTTAATGTCTTTATCTGAAGTGCCTAAAACATTTTTACAATACATGTAATTTATATTCGGAAAATGTGTGTACCCATGAGTTGAGTGCATTTCTCTTTTTTTTTTTTTTTTTTATATCCTTTTTTTTCCATGAGCAAATAATATGTTCAAAGTAATTATGAGTCATATGTAAAAGTGCATAAATATTTTTCTATGGTACTCAGGGCTGAAGCTCCACCTTTTTAAAAAGTAAGCTCTCTCTCTGTAAATCAGGTATGCACAGTGGCTAAACAGTTTTATCTTGACTTCCTTTACTTGTGTTGGGTGTTTACTGAGCTCACATAGAGTGTGATCGACACAATATCTATGACATGATAGCTTATGAGATGCTAATCTGGGTTCCTAAATGCTATTTAGCATAGCATTAAATAAATTTTCTCTCCAGCTTCTCTCGCTCTAATTTTCTCATCTGTGCACTGACCTCCCACAGTCCAACCCCTTACGTTGTGTCTTTTCACCATTTCAGGTAATGGACAGGCTGATAGAGTTTGCCTACACAGCCAGCATCTCTGTGGGTGAGAAGTGTGTCATCCATGTGATGAATGGTGCTGTCATGTACCAGATAGACAGCGTGGTCAAGGCCTGCTGTGATTTCCTCGTCCAGCAGCTTGACCCCAGCAACGCTATTGGCATTGCCAGCTTTGCAGAGCAGATCGGTTGCATAGAGCTCCACCAGAAGGCCAGAGAATACATCTACATGAACTTCAGCCAGGTAAGGCTTAAATAGCATCTCGAATGAAAGCATTTTCGTTAGAATCACTGAACTGCATTGTTGGGCTGCACATGAAGTTGGAGCCACTCCTTGTAATTGTTTTTTCCTAATTTGTGGCGCTTAAGTAATGATTTTGTAACTTAGAAATCAAGAATTAAACATTCTACAAATCTGTTCAAGTTTTTGGGGCAGGAAATCTGTGTGTAAAGTGTTTTGAGGTCTGAGTAAACAATGTTTCACTTGCTACATTGTGGTTTCTTCTGGTGGGTTCAAGCTATGAGTCCACTGGCAGACTCATAGCTTGAATTCTCTTCACAAGAAGGCCAAGAGAATTCAAGCTATGAGTCACGATGACTTGTGAGTATCTATGTGGGTTTACTGGTGGCTGAAGCATAACTGACTGCAAAAGATGATGATACAACACAGTACAAGAAATGAAAGGACAGTTAATATTTCTCCCTCATAAGGAGATAAGATCAAGGGTAGGTCCAGCTTATGACAAAGACGTGTCACATGTCTGTCTGTGAGGTTAAACCTATAAATGGTATAATATTCAATACATGCCTGCTCACCAGAGATTTGACTTTTTAAATATATTGTGGCTGTCAGGGTAGGAAACCAGTTTTCCTTTGTTAGAAAGAGATTATTTGTTGCAAGAGTTGGTTTTGTTCTCACCGTTATGTTATAATTGATCAAAATAAGCAAAAACAAACTGATAAAGATTACATGATTGATCCATAATTTAAAATAAATCTGTTTGTATTTGGAACAGACTGTGCACAGTTTAATTGATCCAGCAGTTACTTTAGGTAAGAAAATTAGATGAGAATTTGCTGCTGGTCTAGATTCCATTCAGTCATATATGTCTGGATTTTGGACTTATGCAGCTGTCATTAGCTGTCTGGAAACTTTTAGCTCAGAAATATTAATCAGTTGTTTGAAAAATCTTTCCAGTTGTTGTAATTACTCACACCAGGTACTTTATTCTTTAACAACACGTGTATCATAAAAAGTTACTTTAAATCTGTACTCCTGCTTTCCAGGTAGCAACCCAAGAGGAATTCTTCAACTTGTCCCACTGCCAGCTGGTCAACCTGATCAGCCGCGACGAGCTCAACGTGCGCTGTGAGTCCGAAGTCTTCCAGGCATGCGTGGCCTGGGTGCGATATGACCGGGAGAACAGGCGACCGTACGTCCAAGCCTTACTCCAGGCTGTCCGCTGCCATTCCCTCACCCCCAACTTCCTGCAGACCCAGCTTCAGTCTCTGGACTGGGACCCACAGTGTAAAGACTACCTGGCTCAGATCTTCCAGGACCTCACCCTCCACAAACCCACCAAAGTGATTTCTTGCAGAACTCCCAAGGTGCCGCAGCTCATCTACACAGCAGGGGGTTATTTCCGTCAGTCGCTCAGCTACCTGGAGGCTTACAACCCTTGCACGGGAACCTGGCTGAGGCTTGCCGACCTGCAGGTACCCCGAAGCGGCCTGGCCGCCTGTGTGATCAGTGGGCTTTTCTATGCTGTTGGTGGAAGAAACAACGCGCCTGATGGTAACATGGACTCAAACGCTTTAGACTGTTACAATCCTATGAACAACTGCTGGCTGCCGTGTGCACCCATGAGCGTGCCCAGGAACCGAATCGGAGTCGGGGTCATCGATGGCATGGTATATGCAGTTGGTGGATCACATGGGTGCATTCATCATAATAGTGTGGAAAGGTAAGTCAAGTTGGCTAATAATGGAAGATGGTATTACTTTTATTACACAGACCAATTCTGCCTATTTTGAATTTATTCTTTTATCAATTATGTGTGTTTGAATGTAGAAAGAAAACCAGCAGTCTTTTACTGGTTGAATAGTTAAGTAACAATTACAGTATGTGGTCAGCACAGGTCATTTTAATGAAAGGCTTATGGTTGTGTCTGTCAAGAGAAGTAATCGGGTAACTTCCTGGAAACATTTTACTTCCTGCAATTTATTTTTAGATCACACAAAGCTGCTGTGAGGGAAATATTTTTGTAATATTAAACTTAGTGACAATTGAAAAGAGAAACAAGACACCTTTTGTTTCTCTCTCAATCTAAGCTTGGCACGAAATGCTTGTACGAACATTGTTATATGACCAGATCAAGAAGAACTAATACTCATTCTTTCTCAGATTGCTTAACATCTTGAGATAATCCTGCCGGATGCAGCTTTTAATCCACACCTGTGAAACGGCAGCTTTGTTTAGGTGCTTTCTGGTGTTGGGTATGAACAGTGACTGAACAACATACATTTTAATAAATAATAACAAAAAGAGAAGCGGAGAGCCCATCAAGTCCCATGAGAAATATCCGAGGTGCCGTATTGGCCTTGCTCTGACTAACCTTGACATAAACCTGCCCCAGATTTTTCACTGCTAGCCATTTAAAACTGGGATTACGTACATTTTAATTCAAGGCAGAAACTTTACCCAAAAGTTGGCTTTGTTCCTAAAATAGAAGATCTTACGCAGGTAGCCCACAGTCTCGGTGAAAGAGGAACATGTCCAGCCAGTCTGAACAATCATGTAACATCCGAAAGCACATATGACGCACTGTAGCACAACGGCTAACCACAAATACTGAGGAATGAAACTAATGAATCTGTGGTGCAGACTCCTGGCAGTGGTTCATTCATTGGGATGATTAGTTACAAGAGTTGGTTACATTTGCGATTTAGAAACCCGATAAGTAAACTGACTAATGTTATTAGTTGGCAAAAAGAAAACGGGAATTTAAAGCTCGGAAATATAGCGATAATTACTTTCTTTTCAAACTATGTAGCCTTCTTAGTTTGTGTTTGTTCTCCACAGGTATGATCCAGAACAGGATCAGTGGCAGCTGGTAGCCCCGATGTTAACACGACGTATCGGTGTGGGTGTGGCTGTCATCAACCGGCTGCTCTACGCTGTGGGGGGGTTCGACGGGGCCAACCGGCTCAGTTCCTGTGAGTGCTACAACCCTGAGAAGGATGAGTGGAAGACCATGGCTCCGATGAACACGGTCCGCTCCGGAGCTGGTAAGAAGGAATTGTAAAGCTGCCTCCTAATGATGAAAAACGTTTCTGAAAAACAATCAATTTACACAACTGCCCGTGCAGTTTTCCACCTGTGATTTGTAAAGATATGCAAGACTTCCTGCCCCTGCAGACCTTCCTGTTTTTGCTAGGTAGACCCAAGCAGTACCAGACAGCAAGGGCAGCTTAATAGTGAGGCAAAGCAAATAAACAAAGATTTCAGGTAAAAAGCAACATTTCTCAAAAAAAAAGAAAAAACAATTGAGAAATTAGACAGAACCTATAATAATCTTGCAGTAGAGTGTATATGGAAAAAGTGAAGCCAAAATATCTAGGCATTTTATTGACATCTTTTGGCAAGCTTTGAGATGTGAAATCCAACTGGACTCTGGGAAGAAACTAGTTACCTCAGCAGTTATTACTCATATCTAGAGAACAGACCCAAGACTTTGGCAGGAAGTCTTTATGTATGGATGCTTATTAGTACTCTTATTGTTACTACTTTCCATATTTTGGTGTAAAATAAACAGAAGCGTAACTATGGCCCCTTTTGTCAAATTGGTAAGCTTAGTTTTGTGTTACTTTTTTAACTTCTGCGATAAGTTATAAAAGCAAGAACGTGTGTTTTGTAACGTGCATCTGGGGTTAACGACTGGTAACAGGTCTGACCACGTCAACACTGGTTATCGCTCTGTCCACAGTTTTGAACAGTATGTCCTGTCAACCGTGACCAAAAAACACTGGATTCAAACAAACAGCAATGTTAAAGGTTATCGCTCCAGCAGCAGCTTCCTCGTGATGGGGAGGTTAAAAATTTGTAAACTTTAACTTTGCAGAGTACCAATAGCAGTGTCGTTTGTCAAGGTGCTTATCAGTACTTTGGTATACACCAGTCTCAAATTTTAACAATCAAATGCTGTTACTTGAAACCTGTGTGAAATTCAGTGATTGTGTGGGTCAGTCAAACTTCGATATCATGTAAATCATGTATCTGTTTGTAAAAAGACTTCCATTTGAATAGAAATCAAAGTGAAAATGGCCCTAAGCTACCTTTTTCTGTGATCTCAGTGAACTTTCCTCATGACTTATTAGGGCTCAGTCGCTAGTTTCAGCTCAGACTAAATCAAACATACACAGATCCAGAGATAACTCCTCACTTCTGGTTTCAAAACATACCGATGGAGACGGTGAAAATGCTCAGGTTGAGGTTTCGAAACTGGACTTCCCAAACCAATGAGTGTCATTGCTCTGGCAGCATCCATCTTCTAAACTGTGTGATAGGATAAAGGTGTTCATGAAATATTTTGGCTTTGCTACTGTGGGCGAAATCTGCTATGTTGTCAGTCTCTGCACAGTCAATAAACAAGAAGCACTCCAAGCACAATCCCCCACTCAAGCACCTCACCATTTGGGCACTATTTAAATTTTAAGGGATTAGTATTGTGTTTTGTATACATTCATTTTTTATTTTTATTTTTTTTGGATTTCGTTAGTTTTCAATTTGCTTAAAAAAAATAAAGTTTGTAGTGCAGTAGAAATTAAATGTTGACAATAAAAACATAGGTCAGAAGTCCAAAGAAAATTTTATCTTTAAAATCTCCATTGATCATACCTTGTATGATTAAATGTTTTAAATAGCTCTATGACCTCCAGATCTGTGTGTTGACCTTGAAGTGGTCAAATTTGACATGATAATTAAAATCTTTATGCTGGTACTTCATATATGTTGACACACCACATTTGTAAGTAGGGCTGCACGATTTTGCATAAAATGAGAATCACGATTTTTTTTTTTTTTTTGGCTTAGAATTGAGATCACGATTTTCTTTTCCAGTATAAATATTTATTGCACTTATTAACTGCACATCAACTTCGTAACAGTTGAGACTGAACATAAAAACAATAAATAAACATAAAAACAACAAATGTCTCACATTTTGTCGTTGCCGCAAAACGTTGTACTGCTTGAAATTCCGTCTCCACCGTTGCTCAACACTGCGTGTATAGAGCAGGTAGTGCAACAATAGAAAAATAGTTGCGGGACGGCACTGTGTAGCGTTTGTCTAGGGTGTTGATCATTTTCCTAAATCCCTCGTTTTGCACAGTGTTGATAGGAGCCATATCTTTGGTCAGGTGATAAGTGATAAGTGATAGCCTCCGTAATTTCTTTGTGCCTGCGGGAGTTCGACGTGTATAGGGAAGCGCTGTATGAGGTTCCTGTTATTGATGTTTGGGTGGTTGACCGGGACGGATTTTCTCCAGTCACTTTCTCGTCAGGGGATGACGTGCTGTCCGTTGTTTTTTCCCTGCCAATTTTAGCAGCCAGCTTCTGTATAACGTGGTATTAGGCTCCGCCCTTGTCATTTGTTGAGCAGGAAGAGTGAGTGCTTGTTTTCATGCAGATTACGTCCCGGACCAAAATGCGATACAATCGTCGTCGTCTTTTTTTTTTTTTTTTTTTTTTTAAATCGTTGTCATTTGGAAATGAGATCGCACATAAGTATGAATTGAGATTGCGATTTTCTAACGATTAATCGTGCAGCCCTATTTGTAAGAATCATAGTTTCTAAGTTATAAGGATTCTTTCTTTTTTTCTTTTTCTTTTTTTTTTTTTAAGCAAATAAATCATTAAGTTGACCTTTTAAGATCATGGTGGATGTAAGCCAAATTTGAATGGATTGGTAACATTTTACAACCCTCACACAAGTGTTATAATAAACACAACCTCCTTGGCAGAGGCAATGATTTTTCTTAATCAAGAAACGCATTAAAGAAAAAACAAAACACTTATATGGGGAGTGTGTATGTCTTTCTTTGTGTGTCCTTAAATACATGTTTGGCCTGGAGTTTTAATTGTCTTTTCTTTTTTTCTTTTTTTTATGATGGCAGTCAAAACAAAGCTACCTGTGACCGTAGCATAGACGTTACTCTTTTCTTCAGCCAGTTCTGGCATGTGCTTACATGTGTCTGCCCACATTTAGTTTGAATAAATGAAACAGTTGACCTTTTCTTTTAGGCGTGTGTGCACTTGGCAATCAGATCTTTGTGATGGGCGGATACGATGGCACCAACCAGCTGAACACGGTGGAGCGCTATGATGTAGAAACCGATACGTGGAGCTTTGCTGCCTCCATGAGGCACAGACGCAGTGCTCTGGGAGTCACTGCGCTGCATGGACGCATCTATGTGTTGGGTGAGTAATGTAGCTCGTAGAAGCCTGCTGAGAAAAAAGCAACGATTTGAGTTACAAAATATGTATTAATTATTATACCGATATCAATGCAATTATTTTGTTCACCTCCCACATTTACAATCATTGGGTGTGAGCCAGTACTCATTTAGGTCACGAGCACCACACCACAGCATTTCATTCAGATTGAGGTTTGGACTTTGGGATATTACAACACCTTCATTGTTTACTTTTTCAGCCATTCTTTAGTAGCTTTTCTACTGTTCTCGTGATCATTGGCCTGTTGCATGACCTAGTTTTGGCCAAATTTCAGCTGTCAGGCAGATGGCCTCACACTTGACTCTAGAATACTTCGGTAAACAGTACTTTGGTCTTGTGGCTGTAAAACATGCCCATATCATAACGCCTTCACCACCATGGACGGTTGTCTTGTGGTTTGTTCAATTGCGTCTTTGCAGGTTTGTTTGTTTGTTTTTATTTAGTTTGTTTGGTTTTCACACAGTGCCTCTGCGTTTCAGTTTGTGTTAAATAAATAATGCCAGAGTGTGTAATATGTCATGTGATGTTGTGTTTACCTAGGAAGTCAAAATCAGAAACAGGGTGTGCTTTCTTTTTCATGTGTCTGCGTATTAAAACTCTTTGTAGTGTAACCGTTAAGTGTTTAGATGCATTTTGCAAGGCTTGTTCAGTTTTTGTGACTATAAAATGTAAATATTTAAGTTTTTATGAGTCACAGTAGCAATAACTAACTCCTATTTACTCACTCCACTTAGTGTTTGTTATCCATAGCTCAGATCTGTGCTGTGCTTACAGGAGGTTACGATGGCAGCACTTTCCTCGACAGTGTGGAGTGTTACGACCCAGAGCAGGACACTTGGTCAGAGGTGACCCACATGACTTCAGGCCGCAGCGGCGTGGGAGTGGCTGTCACCATGGAGCCCTGCCAAAAGGATTTATTGCAGTGTCAGGCGTGTGACGGCGGAAGAACCAGTGGCAAGGCGGACCCTTCGGCAAATGCACGCGAAGATCTGAGCAGGACCCGATCCACACACTGACACTCATCTCAAAACTGACCTGTGAAAACTGGTCCTTTAAATTGAGTATCGTTATAAGATCCAGACAGTCTAGCTTTGTGCTCCAACGCAGCATTTGAAGCCCTCAGCTAGATCATCATTTGTAAAGTTCAAGTAAAGGGCTCCATAGTAAAAAGGTCACTTTACTGGCCCGATGAGTCATCAGGGGCTCTTTATTGCATTTAAAGAGCAAACTAAATCTGATAGGTGAAGGAAATACTTCAAGCGATCGATTATGTAAACAAAACTGTGCGTGCGTGCGTGCGTGTGTGTGTGTGTGTGGCAATCAAAGTGCCATTACAATGCCTGTGGGCATTATCACTATGTCGGTATATTCTCCTGAGGTGCTTGTGTGGGAAGGCACAGGCTGAGTCACTGTGTGGAAATTAGTGTTAACCCAGAGAGCCACAACATGAAGATCGTACAGTGGGCCTCATGCAAGAGCTTGTTTGACGTGCTTATACAGACCGTCTTAATTCAGTCCAATAGTTCTTTACAAAATCACAATCTGCACATTAAAAAAGAATACATAAATAAATGAAGAAGAATTTAAGCTCCTGATGTTGGATATATCCAGTACTAGCAGTCCAAAAAACTGTGTAGTAACAGGTTTTTGATATAGCACAGGAACCATTATTTCCCTCCTGTTTATTGTATATGTAGACAGTTATTTGCTGTTATTTTTAGTAGTAAAGTACATGTTTAAACTCACCATCTGTTTAGAACTCTTTTTTGCAAATAATCTATTTTTATTTAAAGTGGACATCCTGTATGACGCCTGTGAAGGCACGCGGAAGATATTTAAATCGGTTGTTGTTGATCTAAGCTGAAGACAGATTCTGCAGCTCCAGAGCTCTTATCCCACCTTAAATATTTTCAAGAACATTTTGGATTACTGGATTACACACAAGAATATACCTGTGATATAAAAGGGGGTTTTCAAGCAAGCTGGCAAGGTGGTTCCAGTTTTAAATCCAAGAACAAACGGCCTGTGCGAGGCATTTGGTGTTGGTGTGATCCCTCGCCTGCAACACCAACCATGACGTGTGCTGTTAGATTCCAAGAAGAAATACTTTGGCCTTTCTTACATGACTACCTGATGCTCTGCTGCAGGTTTATTTTGGTAGGCACGGCTAAAACTAGCAGTCCTGCAGTAAATCCAGCTTTCACAGTGGGTTTCTACTGTTTTGTTGCCTTCTAGTGATCTTACTGGGGCAAAATAATAAACGCCTGTCACTTTGGTGCATAACACTTCCACAGAATCACCACCTTTTTATGGAACCACTTAATCAGAAATTACAACCTTCATGAAGGTAGGATTTATTGCAGGATGTCATATTATAGAGCATTACATCTAGTTAAGTGTGTATAATCATAAACTGGCAGCTGAGTTTCTGTTCCTTCAACTGCAGTCATTATGCAGCTGTACGGGTGTGGGGGAAAATGTGCATGCACCTGCCAAATTGTATAAATTGTCATCTCAGATTATGGTAGAAAGGATCTGCTTTAAGCAAGTGGTTCTTGCATGAGGCCCACTGTCACAAATTCAAGTGTTGATACAAGAGTCTGCATTGTAACAAATGTGTTCTTTAACTGATTGCATAAAATGTGAAACTTTAGTAAAATACTGAGCGATGCTTCTTCTCGGGCTCCACGATTGTCGTCCAGTGGGATCGGTGTGCAAAGCGCCAACAGAATGAAGAAATTAGTTTAGGCTGTGTTTAGAGGAATCAATACTGTAGCATTTAAACGGCCTGAATTGAAACATCTCACTATTTGCAGACAGAAATGAGACCCTCCCGCGCGCAGTAAACAATTTTTTTTTGGATTTTCACATCCTTGAGACCTCAGACACAAATGACCATGTTTGTGCATTCGTGTTCAAATATTGTATACTAATGATTAAAAAAAGGGGGACGCCTCCAGCAGAACGAGGCTCAGGGAAGGTCAGATGTCTACCGTGTATGAGAGGTGACGAAGAAGGGGGGGAAGGGGGGGGGAGAAAAACTTGCTTAAAAAATGTATTTGTAACAGCGGTTTAAGCTACAAATGTTTTTAAGTGATGTTTTGTACATTGATATTCTACAAAGTCTTGTACAGGAATTCAGAGCTCACTTTTTTATTTATTTGTTCAGGTCCTTTGTGATTTTTCTTCTTCCTCTAAACTGACATCAGCTTTGTATTAAATTGGACTCTGGTGTAGTGTTTTAATAACTAGCATGCATTGTAACAAACTAGGTCTGCCTGTTAATGCAGATTTTGGATGTTTGTTTAAAAAACAAAAAAAATTTAAACAAAAAAAGAGAAACCGGCGCTTCACCTTGAAAGGGACCTTTCCCCCCCCTGTCCAGTGTTTGGATTAGAGATGAAAATATTTAAAAACATCTGCTTTGTACATTTATCCCCCCAAGCAAGAACTACCTTGTACAGTAATGCACTGTTAATTAAAATGTGTTTATTGCACTGCTGTAGTCATGTAATAATTTTAGTTCTGATAGTTCCTGGGTTGTTTGTTTTTTCTTCTTGATGTTACGGTCATTTGTGCTGTTTTCAAATCAGTAGTGGCCACTAGAGGGAGCTAATGCGCCTTCATATCTTCTTTTATTTTATTTCTACATTTACCCTAAAATAAAGTTACCAATTTACGCTTTTTGCTAAAGATGGATGCTCCCAGCCCACTTTGATAGGTACATCTGATTAACTACTCATTAATGCAACTATCTAATCATACAATCACGTGTCAGCGTCCCACTACATTCGGGCATGAACACATGGTCTACGTGGCCTATTGAAGTTCAAAGTGAATGTCATCAAGATGATTCTAAGTGACTCTGAATGTGGTGTGGTTGTTGGGGCCAGGCGAGTTTTTTTAGAAACTGCAGATGTGCTGGGATTCCCCCCCAACACAACCACCTTTAGCGTTTACACGGAATACAGCAAAAAAGAGGAAATGTCAAATTAGCAGGAAAAAACACTTGTTGATGCAGTAACTCGTTTAGCACTTGTTACAACCAAGATATGCAGAAGAGTATCTTTAGTAGAGGCGAAATGTTAAAGCAGATGGGAACAAGAGCAGAAACCCACATCATTTCTCCTCTCTTGCTCTGATGATTCTTAATTTCTGCTGCAAAATTTGTGTGGTGGGGTCAGAATCTCATGTAAGCAAGAAATCCTGCTTTCTATTTATGTTCAGGCTGCTCGTGATGGTTAAGTGTATACTTTGAGCCCCAACTGAGCATCATTTAAACTCCACATCCTACCCGTGCGTTCTTTCTGACCATGTCCATCTCTTAATGACCAAAGTGTACCCATTTTCGACATTATCCTGATTTTAGTGGAATAACCTGTAGGATGTTGAGCTTAAATAGTCTCAAACCAATTTCCTGAAAATGACAATGAGTTTGCAATTCTCTGATGGCCTCGGCAGTCACCAGACCTCAATCTAATAAGGCATATTTGGAATGTGGTGGAGATTCATATCATGGACGTGCAGCTGACAGTGAAGGTGTGATCAATAAGGACCCAAATGTCTGAGTAATGTTTTTGAATCTATGCCATGAAGGATTAGGACATGGCAAAAAGAGCTTCAGCCCAGTATGAGCAAGATGCACCTAATAAAGTGTGCGTGTAGATACTAGTGTGCAAAGTCTCATTTTTATGATCTTTCTAGTGTGTTTTTCAGTGAGTCAAAAGCAGGTATGTCATTTACCGACCACCCATGATACCTCCCAACACATCTAATTTCCTGGCTAAACCCAGCAGGTGGATAAGGTAGACCACTGTTTACACTACCGAGGAGTATTGTGTGGGCTTACAAGAGTATTAAGACTTGGCAAACACAGGCCTAAAAAACACAGACTTAAAAAAGAATCTGTGAAGATATACAGTTGCGTCATCAGTTTCTCGTTGGAAGAAAATATCTTTCAAATATTGCAGATGGAAATTTAAGCAGTTAATAGGCCTCTAAACTTTTCTGCTTAACACCCGACGTCAGATTGTAATAAGAAATGCACGTCAAACACAGGAGGATGATAACTTTGGGATTCAGTTTGGGCGGAAAGAAAGTCACTGCGGTAACTTCCTCTCTTCCCTTCTTCTCCCGAATATTACCACAGCATGAGTTTACAAAAATGTCAAGGTTACGCAACACTAATCGAGGTGTGGCTGAAAAATCAGGAGGCTGTTCCTGCTTTGTCTTGCGTGAGACCAGGAGCGTTATTTAATAACCATGCCTTCTTATCATTTGAAAGTCATACGATAACAGACCACGTGCTTGCATTCTGATGGGTTTATGGGTTGTTGATTGTTAGGACCGGTATCTTGTATTGTGATAGGTGAAGAAATGTCCGCTTATACACTTTGATCTATTAACTCATCTTCTACACATTGAAGAAATCTTCTGTTCAAGTTTTAGCATTCACTCTCTCCTAGTTTTCCTGAAAGTAAAAATGGGTCTGGAGACTTATGGGTTAATTTCATATAAAGCCTCATTTTAAATTATTGCTAGGGGGCGCAAATATACACTAACTGCAGTAATCACATTAACTACGTGTAGATTACTTGAAGTGTGCCTCTGTAAAGTCAGCGCTCACTTGCATTGAACATGCTCGCTGACAGTGGTTTTATTTTGAAAACCTCGCTTGTTTGTGCCGCGTGATTTCTCGCGAGCTTCACACCGGTGAGCGCCTCTGAAAGTGATGAAAAAAACTCTGGCCACTGCCACCGGACACCAGAGGATCCTGTGTGCGCGCAGGTATGTAAAATTAATCTTGCTGACGCTTGCTTCTGTTTTACTCTGTTGGGCGAAACTTCTGAGATAATTTCAAACTTCAGTGGAAACTTAATGGGAGATAAGTTCTCGAGGTTATACTCGTTTGATTTAGGAAGTAGCTTTGGAAGTTCACGAATTACCTGCGCTGTTAAATGAAGACAACGCCACAAGAAACGCCACTTTTACCTCAAATTTAACACAAGCAGCGATGTTAAGAAGAAATTAGCCAGACAGAAGTCTGCTGCAATGATTTGTATTTGGTTACCTGTGTGTGCACAAATGCGCACAGCTCACATCACAAATTAACAGGCTATTTATCTCGTCTTGATGCAGTAGTATTGTTATAAAACAGTGGAGCTTCTGTCCTTCTTTCTCTGTTTATCTATTAAGGTGGGCTTCAGGACACAAAATTGTTTCCATTCTTTCCAGAGAGAGAGAGACTCTCTTTGTTGTCAGACTAGTTCATCCTGTTTGAATCCCCCTTTGAGCGCAGGAGGAGCGTCCATTCATTCAAGGTCAATAAACAGCCAAAGCTCATGTGTGTTCTTTGTGTCATGTAACTTTAAAACCTTTGACAAGATTTTCTCTGGAGACTTCTCTGCATTGAAAGCCTGTTCCAGCTTCATTGCTCAAATCCACTCGTTCCTTTCCTTTCGTCTCCTTTCATCAGTGTGGAGCAGCAGCCAGGATGATCCCAGTGGGTGAATTCAGATCCCTCGGCACAGAGCCCAGCTCGAAGTATAGGGTCCTGAAGCCATGGTGGGATGTTTTCACAGAGTATCTGTGCATTGCTATGCTCATGATTGGAGTCTTTGGATGCACTTTGCAGGTAAGGTGTCTACACTTTGTGTCCATAAGTTTTCAAAAAGTAAAACCAAGTCATCGCTGACCTTGTCTGTCTCATTGTAGATGCCATGATAATTCCTGCATTATCTGGCCACCCAGTCACGCAAAAATGCATGCACTACAGCTGAACGAACTTGTTTCTCCTGACCCACTTTGTGCACATTCAGATCACAAACTGGCTGCTTAATGTGTGTCTCTCATCACATGAATATCATTTCTGTGTCACATTAAAATAGCACCAAAGTAAAGCAAAGGGACTACAGTGTAGTCAGCGCTAATCAGATATAATAACATACAAATTTCACAACTTGTTTACTGCAGATTTTCTAACTGTTGTGTTTTTCAGAGCAGAAGCATCAGTTTATTCCTCTAATTGTACTAAATTGTTGTTTTAGCGTAGACACCAACAACAAAGGGGCATTACAGGGGATGCATTCATGAAAAGAATTGGTCACAAAGCTGTCTGAATTGCTGCACCATCTACACAGTCTGTTTGGCGAAACTGAATGTGTGAAAATAATTCAGCAACTAAAGGGGTTCTCTATAGTCTGACACTCATTAGAATATTTATTATTTATTACTTCTGTCAGTGTAACATTTATAAAGTAATTATGGATTGCAACCAAGCAATTAAACATATAACCACCACCTTTACAAGGATGATGTAACACACACATTTAATTTTAAATTAAAAATATTAAATCATCTGCTATTTTCGACCAAAATTTTCACAACTCAAAGTTTATCCAGTCTGGTTTCTTTCATTTACGAAATATCTCAAAAATCTACCAGTAATGAAGAAATTTTTGTACATAGTACATAGTAGTTAGTAGTTAGTTATAACTAACTCACTTTTCACATGCATTTCTCAGTCTGCTTTAGCCCGTCTACCATTGGCCTAGAATACAGCAGCTAGGCTGCTAACAAAAAACTAGTCAATACTCATAACAAAAGGCCATAAATAAAGCCATTAATTATTTTTGGCCTTTTGTTCTTCTCATATGTGTATACATAAGTGTGTATGTAGGAATGAATGAAAGACTGTGTGTTTGTAAGTATAAATATGTACTTTTATTCTTTCATCTGTTTTTATCCAGACTGCGAAGCACTTTCTAATTGTGGATTTTAGTGTTGTGATTTCTTCTTCAGACATAGGTAATCCAATTAAATGTAAAAATAGAAATGGCAGAATTAAATCTCCCTTTCACTTAGTGCTGTTAGACACGCTGTGCTCATTAACCTCTGCAGCAGCACAAAATCTCGTTAATTAAAAAACAATAAAGAAAATATTCCACTACAGTGGAATCTTCTGCTTTGGTGATGGATTTTTCTTGCTTTCCTACAGCAGCATGTTAATAGTGACTTTTACTTTGAAATGAAGAGGTGGAATGGATCATCCCTCCAAGTAGTGTCATGTCTGATGTCATGGCTTGGAAAGTATAAGCCTGTTTCTGATTGTTGCTCGTCTGTTTGATGACGCATCAAAAGGGCGGAGGATTTCGTGTATTTTTAAACCCCTATCTGATTTTATCATCTGCAGTTTTTAGCTTGTGCATTTAGGCTTTACGCGCAAGGTGAAACCTGTTAGTTCATCACTCCCAAAGCGTAGCATTATACACTATGTGATAAATTGTCAGTATATTACACTTCCGGGAACCCATCACGTCCCTATATTACAAGATCAGAAAAATGAGGAAACATGAGAACCGTTTGGAATGAATCTACAAGTGTGGGTTTGTTTTACTTAAATCACTTTGGAAAACACTATCTAACATGCTGGTTGAGGTTAGGGATAGAGTTAGGGTTAGGGCTGGAATACATGGCTGGAACGTGTATTACCGTGGGAGCATCATTCTGCTAGATTTCATCCATAACCTGGCACGTAGCATAAGAACGCGGAAGGTCACCTTTTGCATTCCTCAGGAACGCCTCGGGATTTGACAAATCGTGACTATGTTACGCCTGAGAGTGAGAACAAGCGGATTAGTTTAGGCCTTGCTGTTCTCCAGTCAGAAATACTTGAGTACCAACAAGTGAACCGGGCTTTGTTTTTATCACGATATTATTATGTTCTTTTTTTTTTATAGCTCACCCAAGACAAGATTGCATGCCTGCCAAGCCACTTCACCAGTCCAACACCAAAAGCAATTGACTGCAGCAACATCAGCAGTTATGGGGACAATGAGAAGTTGCAGAACACACTGGTGACCCCGGCGAGCCCCATCATAGTGGAGGTGTTTGGGCGGAAGAACAATCTGGACATTCATCAATACGTGTTCGTCAACAACTATTGCTATGAGAGGTCTGTTCACTGGTATGCAAAGTACTTTCCGTACCTCGTGGTTATCCACACCATAATCTTCATGGTAACAAGCAGCTTCTGGTTCAAGTTTCCTGGGACATCTTCTAAAATTGATCTCTTTGTCAGCATTCTTGACAAGTGCTTTGACTCACCCTGGACCACAAGAGCCCTGAGTGAAGTTTCTGAGGAAAGAGGCGAGGAGAAGCTAGTCAACTGGAGGAGGAACACTATGACTAAAGGCTCCACAGAAGGACAAATCGATGAGGAGGAGACTGTGGGCCTTCTTCGCTCCTGCTCTGTTAAGTCTAATCAAGAAAAGAAAAGTGCAGAACCGAAGTCTACCCTCTCTTTGTTGGATAAGAAAGAAGGAGAGCAAGCCAAAGCTCTATTTGAAAAGGTGAAGAAGCTCCGAACTCATGTGGAGGAAAAAGACATTTTGTACCACATGTACGTTCTGCAAACGTCAGTAAAGGTCATCCATTTTCTTTTGATTATTATTTACACCGCATTGCTGGTACCTAACATTGAGATAGTTGTGCAGTGTTTGGTTCCGCCTGAGCTGACTGGTTTTGATATCTATTGCTGTAACCACAACAAAGCACATCTTTTCTCCAAGCTTGCCTACTGCTATATCTGCTTTGTGGCCGTATTTGGACTTCTGCGTATCTATACCCTCTACTGGCTTTTCCATCGACCTCTAAAGGAGTACTACTTTGAGCAGGTCAGACTGGAGACCGGAATTAATGACATACCTGATGTGAAGAATGATTTTGCCTTCCTCCTGCATCTTGTGGACCAATATGATGCTCTTTATTCTAAAAGGTTTGCTGTCTTTCTTTCCGAAGTCAGCGAGAGCCGCCTCCATCAGCTTAATCTAAACTACGAGTGGACTGACAAAAAGTTGCGCACGCGTCTAGCCAGGAACACCAGAAACCGTCTAGAGCTACACCTGTTAATGTTACCAGGGCTTCCAGAAACCGTTTTTGAAATTCCCGAACTGGAATCACTCAAACTCGAGCAGATGAAGAATGTCACCATACCGGCTAGTATAGCAAAGCTAGAGTCTCTCCAGGAGTTATCAATGGTCTACTGCCCCGCAAAGCTCCAAGTTGCTGCCCTAAACCACCTGAGAGAACATTTAAAGATTCTATATCTAACCTTTGAGCATTTAGAAGAGGTTCCTGTGTGGACGTACACCTTACACTGCCTGGAAGAGCTCCACCTGGAAGGTCCTTTAACCAACGAGGTGTCCAAAAGTCCCATTCTGGATTCCTTTAAAGAGCTTAGAGCTTTGAGGGTCCTCACTTTTCGCTCCAAACTTACAAAGATCCCCTCCAGCATAGGAGATGTTGCGTTCCAGTTGCAGCGCTTGCATATCTACAATGAAAGTGTCAGGGTCCAGGCTTTAAGCATCCTGAAGAAGTTAACCAACTTAGTTTCACTGGAATTAGTGGGCTGTGAGTTGGAGCGCATCCCAAGTGCTGTCTTCAGCCTGAGCAATCTGCAGGAGCTGGACCTGAAGGAAAACAAACTCACTACTGTGGAGGAGATCCTGAGCTTACAGCACTGCAGGCATTTAGTGACACTTCGGCTATGGCACAATAAAATCTCATACATCCCTGAACATATATCTAAGCTGCATACCTTGGAGACACTGGACATTAGCTGGAACAAGCTAGGAAAGCTTCCCTCTCGGCTCTTCTACTGCACCAAACTCCGGCACCTCGACATTTCTCACAATCAACTCACTTCGCTCCCTTCTGAAGTGAACATCCTGCAGAGCCTGCAGTTCTTCTCCGCAGCTTTCAACTCCTTAGAGACAGTGCCAGAAGAGCTGTTCTCCTGTAAAAGGCTAAAAACGCTGATTCTTGGTAACAACCGCCTTTCACACCTCAGCTCAAAAGTAGCCAACCTTGCCCAGCTGGTCCGGCTGGATATTAAAGGAAACCGTCTGGAGTACTTACCTCAGGAGATAGGGGACTGTCCCCTGCTGAGTGGGCTGATAGTAGAAGATAACCTGCTGGATCAACTGCCATCAGATGTAAGAAGCAAGTTAAATAAAAGCTGAGTGTGTGGAGCTAAGGTTCGTCACATACTTGTGTTTTCTAATTAAAGAGTGGTGGGTGAGCTTGAAAAAACATTTTTGATCCAAATATTTTTCAGAGAGAAGCAAAAGGAAAACCCAAACCACAGCTGACCACTAAAAGAGAACCAGTAACTCTAAAGCTGAAGACTTTCATAGGACTGACCTAAAGAGGTGCTTGTGAGAACACAAAGGTCTAACACAGTTGGATCAGACGGTCTTTAATCTACCAGGTGCCTAGCACAAAGTCCATGTGATGTCAAATTGTGCCATATGCAAACCGCAAACTGCATTAAGTGGACATCATGAAGGCTGCCTCCCGCACGCTTTCTCCAGGCAGCTTAAACCACACTGTGTATTTCTAGTAGGGAAAACACATCTGTGGACAAGTGTGGAAATCCTAATTGTCCCAGTTTTGCATATCCATTAAAAAAAGATTTAAAGACTCTATTTAAAAGCAGTCATAACGAAATGATTCATATTTTTTGATTTTCACATTTTGAAAATGTTTTTTATGTGTTGTCCTGAAAATAGCATCTTTTTTATTAAGTTAAAATGTGTAAAAACACATCTACATTTAATTTTTACAAAACTTGATTTTTACTTCAGTAGATGACACAGAAATGTAAAGTGGAACAAAAAAGTGTTGTAATTCAAGATCAGATTAATACTGTATGTGGGGATGAAATAAGAGCTATAAGTACTTTACAGAAATAAAACAGTGAACAAGCCTTAACCTTCAAATGTTTTGGGACTGCACTTCCGTTTGTTTACTAAAGACCTTTGAACTGTATCCTGCTTGACGGGTTTACACAGCGTGAATATGCATTTCTTACAGTGTGGTGGTTCATGTCGCTCCGTTTCAGTTCCAAAACACGTGGAGGGCGAAAAAGCCTTTCAGTAGCTGGATAAAAGGTGTTCATATCTCTGTTTACACATTCAGTCAAATGGAGAAGTGAGTGAACTCATACTGGGGTGGTATGAGGTATATAAGGTAAAGGTTCACTCTCTACAACAATGACTGTGCATGATGTGAGTGCCAGTGGTAATGGCTGCTGTTTCCACTAATGTTTCAGCATAATACAGGTGATAATTGGAGGTGATGTCCAGGCAGCAGAATTTTAAAAAGCTGTGGCACGTAACATGCAACTATGGAAACTTGCTAACTTGGATGACTAGGCTGATCTGTTTAAATGCTTTAAACTGGATATATTTTTACTTCAAATCTTGTTTTTCTTTCTTTTTAAAAAATTTCAAACATCCTTTATGCAAAACTTTAGATGAATGGATTCTGCACTTTTCCTTCACCATTGTTTCCTCCATTCACATCTCATGTTCAGACGCACATAAAACCGGTGCTTCCTGGAAACAGCTTCCACTGCTCAAACGAACTGCAGTCGGTCATGTTCTGGCTTGTGTGACTTCTTAATATGTTCGTGTCGATCAGCACACTCACTTGCCCTTGATTCAAGGATTACTGTGTGTGCTATTTTCTGTCACATTAAGGAATTGAGATGTTTTAGGGAGAATTTAGCACTTATGTTATGAAGGGAAATAAGTTGCACAGTAGTGGTCACTACAGTGGACAGCTATTCAAAGGCTGTTTTCTTGTATTTGTGTCAGTGTTGATGGTATACACATAAACCACTACATTGGACAATGATGTGTCAGTCCATACACATCTGTTGTCCGCCTAAGTGGACATGTAAAAAACTCTTTGAAAAGTACATGTTTAAAAGATTGAAGTTCAAAAATCTTTTTTTTCATGCCTAAAGATGAATAGAAATACTTAAGAAAAAAAATTCTGAATGATGATTTTCATAATTCATTCATGAAAGGGTTAAGTCTCAGTTAAAGTTGCAGTCAAGTAGCAGTCTAAATGTGACTAATAATTGACTGGAAAAAATAGCAATACAATGTCTCCAAGACGGTTGTTGCTTTGGGTTGTGAGGAGTGTGCAGAGAGCCGCCGGTTGGGCTTGGTGTTTACTTTTGTAAAATCGGATTATTGGGTGTCTCAGCTATGTGTGTTTCTGGTAAAGGTTCACATTCAGTTCCTGCAGGCTGTGATTTCGTGCAGCTTGATGAAGTGAGAAGCACAGCAGAGCGTGTAACAGCTTCCAGTGACTCATCGTTTGGAATCTCACCAAATGCCAAAGGCCAAACAATAACAGTTTCAAATGAAAAAAAATGAAGGAAGCACTTGATTTGCAGTTCTCTACATCTTACAGTCTAGTAAAAATTGCACACATGGGAAGCTCCTCCTTTCATGAGCACGAGAGCATTTTTTAAATATGAAACTAATCCCTAAATCCTTTTAAGCTCTATTACATTTCGTAAATGAAAGAGATTAGAGATCTGAAACCAACTAATAATCTTAATTACTGATTATTTGACATATTATTCTAATAAACAGTTTGGTCTAGATCTGAATAAAGCGGTGTTACAAAACCAAAGTGCTCCAGTTCATTTCACCAAATATCTTGTTTTGTTGGACCAAAATTCTAAAATGCAAAGAGTAAATTCAGATGTTTGATGTTTTAAACAAATGATCAAACTGCTAGTTAATTATGCAGATTTATTTTCTTGGCAACATAATCACCACAGCTGTAACAGAGGTCAGGGGCAGTCGTTTGGTATCGATTCAATACCAAGTAAAACCCAAGTAAAACACGACAGTCAGCACAAAAAAGATTCATTTTTCACAGTGCATGTTTGAGGTATATTGATTTAAAACAATTCAGTGGGCAAATCGCAAATATCGATCCGATAAAAATACCAGTGTTGGTATTGATACTGTTGAAATTTGGATTGATCTGCCCACCTTTAGTGAAGGGCATTTGTGGAGAAGTGGTTTATGAATCCGTGAAGCTGTGTCACCCCTAATGTCTGTAACCCCTCACTGCTCCTCTCCGCTCTTTAATCAAAATCAGAGAAACTTTATTAATCCCAGAGGAAAATTGAGTATACATACAACTGCATGAAATGAAGTGTAGAAACAGAGACCGTTCCCCATCTGCTCCAGTCTGCATACCAAATATCCTTTGGCAAGATACTTACCCCGATGCATCCACTGTGCATGTATTTAGATATAAATAGATATTAACAGACATATAAATATAATATAAAAAGACACAAGTATTAACAATAAATACACTTTAATCCAAGCAAAATAGAAAAACAAGAAGTGTGAAATCTTAGTTATTACGTTAGTTCGGTCAGACATTTGGATAGTTTTCCTTGTGTCATCTTAATTTACACACATCTGCGTGTGACTGCACCAGTACGCTGATTCAGGGTTTTCTTGTTTACTCCCACTATTGTTACTGCTGCTTGTAAACCTGCATATTTCTCCCAATCTGTGGATTAACCCAGCCACATTCAGGAAGTGCTTGAATGTAACAGCCACCCACCCAGTCAGTGAAGTCGCTGAGCTCTACCTAGTGGCTGGGCTGTATATTTAACCATCCTGGTTTTGTAACTGATTTATATGTTAGGGTGAGAAAATATACTTAAATATCTATTACACAATTTAAGGGCGTGGTGACGAAGCAGACCTCTGAGCGGAAAGTTGCTAAACTATCTGGGAAAATATGGGTGGGGAAAGACAGCATTTTGAGCAGAATTGCTCCAGTAGACTTTACTCAAACATCAGAGTCTGAGTCTGGATTAGCGCTGCTGAATAAACATCACATTCATTTAATGTTAAAATATTCCTTGAAGATGAAAAGATCAGCATTTAAAAGTAGGCAGATATTATCAGCTGTTCTAAAGCACAGCACTTGGTTTGTTTTTTATTTCATTCAAATGGAAATTTGTGTGTTTTCTATTGAAAAAATTTTGATTTGTGTGATCGTTCTGTGACATCATAGATGTCTGCATAGTGAGCTGTGAGCGCAGCAGTTGAACTGTATCTCCTTTCTTGGCAAGTAAAGTTGGCCAGCAGCACACAAGCAAACAAAATGCCCATTGTACCACGAGAGCCCCGAGCACAAACATCAGCAAACTGTGCCACTGTTACCTACAAGCTCCAACAAAACAGGGCTCTCATTCATTTCTACTTCAGTTCAGCTATCTTTGTGACCTTTGTGAGACTTTTCACCGCGCTGTACATTCCAGCGTGGAGTTATTGCAAATGCCCTTGGTGGATCACCATAAGGACGTCTGAGCGGTTAAGACTGCATGAAAAGATGCAAAGAAAAGCACACAATGATTGATTAAATTCCTCTTTCAGTTGTGTTAATCTATTTTGTTTTGGGGGTTTTTGGAGGATTTTTAAAAACATGAGAAGCATCGGGAGTCACGGACAGAGCCGGGAATTTTGAGATAGTGAAGAAAAGATTATCTGTGGACTCTTATGTTCCAGCGACAAGTAGGTGGTGTGGTGATGCAGCGGTTAGCAGTTTTGGCTCACAGGAGAAAAAACAAACAAACTTCTGCACGTGAACCTTCCTGAGGCCTGATGCGTAGTTTGCATGTTTTTTCTGTGCCTGTGTGGGTTTTCCCCCGGCGCTCCAGTTTTCTTCTACAGTCCGAAAACACACATATCTTGGTGATTATAACTGTTGATTTTAAGTTCATGTGGATGTGCAATAGATAATAAATAATAATAATGGATTGGATTTATATAGCGCTTTTCAGGACCCCTCAAAGCGCTTTACAATACCACTATTCATTCACTCTCACATTCATACACTGGTGAAGGTAAGCTACAGTTGTAGCCACAGCTGCCCTGGGGCAGACTGACAGAAGCGAGGCTGCCATATTGTGCCATCGGCCCCTCTGGCCACCACCAGTAGGCGGTAGGTGAAGTGTCTTGCCCAAGGACACAGCGACCGACCGGCAACCTTCCGATTACAAGACGAGCACCCAACTCTTGAGCCACGATCGCGGGTAGAATAAACGTTTGATATGAATATGCTGATAAATGTGTCTTTATAGTGTAAAGCATTTGGTGTGGGAAATGCACTATGTAAATGCCAGTCCACTTCCAAGTGTTTTTTTTATTCCTATTTTACTGAACAAAAGTAAAAATATTCATTTTAATCCTCTTGCAACCGTGATAATTTACTCCCCCCATCCCCCTTCGTTCTCTACATCAGGAGTGTCAAACTTATAGGTCACATGCAGTTCAATCTCATTTTAACAGTAAAATCATTGCACCGTAACCTATTAAAAAAAAACCTAAGTGTAAATAAGTACTTCCTTAAAACATTAAACCTGAAATAAATCTAGCCTAAGAACAAAAAATAAATTTACTTACAGCCAAATTTCTGTTTTTCAACTTTCTATCATTAAAAAAATGTTTCAATCAAACTCAATGAACCAGGTCAGCATGGCTCTTTGTTAAAAATTACAGAGTAGGAGTTTTCACCAATTTACCCAGCATCCAGTGGTCCAGATTGTACCCCACCAGGCCAGTTCTGACCAATGGCCACTAAAGCTCAGAAATAAAAAAAAAAAAGTAAATCACTTCCTTTTTAGCCTTTTGTTATGACACCCTAAATTCACACACACCCACACACACAAAAAGCTGAGATGACCTGAGTGATCCCAGTGAGCAGAAACCCAAGAGCAGTAGCTCTTACTAGCCAATTACAGAATCCAAATCAAAATGAAAAGACAGCAAAACTTCAAGTTCAACACTTTATTTTGTGCTTTCTTCTTCAAATAGTGAAGTGAATAATCTCACTTAGATTTTAAAAGTATTTATATAAATAACATTTCAACAAATCACAATAAGGGTTGCTATTTACAAAGAGGAATATTCAATCCTATTTTAACAATAAATAGGAGTAAATTCAAACTCTAAGTACATCTAATTAATAGAAACACAACTATGCAAAGCAATCAGGGTGCACAATGTCAAGTTTTGTAAATTAAAAAAAACAACAACATACAACTGTTACAATTCTTACACAAAGGAAATAATTAGAAAACACTGGGGGCGGGGGGGGACTATCTACAAATGTGCACTCCCAATTCATAGGGAAAACAGATATATATGTATATGTTCATATAAGGTGCCTAAATTGCACTGTGCAAAAGAGGTGTCTACAGTATATAGCCACCCATCCACTGAAAATAAGCTGCCAAGACAATATGTCCTGTCACATAATAATGCTGAGCCACTGTTAACAAAAGAAAAGAAAAATCCTTTACACAGCAACAAAAATCAAGTTACCAGGACTGAAGCGAAACAAAGTGTGAGGTTAGGGTTAGGCAAAATACACCCACTTTTCAGGCTAACTATGAATGTGCGAAAAAAGCAAGTCAATCATATCCGGCACGCCTGAAGCTCGGGCCACGTCTACCGCTGTCTGACCGCTGACGTTGGCGTGTTTAAGGTTGGACCGTGGCGCCAAATACTTCACAACATCCCGGTGGCCTTCCCGGATGGCGATGTGAATAGGAAGCGCGCCACTCCTGTCCGGGATGTTTACTGAGGCGCCGTACTCCACCAGAACCTCCACGGTGTCAAGGAAGCCTGTTCGAGCTGCGTCGTGGACAGGCGTTATCCCGTGCCTGTCCTGGACGTTGGGGTTGGCTCCTTTTTCTAACAACAGGCTGGCAATCTTGGAGTTCCCCATCATCATCACCTGTTGAAGACATTAGAGGAGAGGTGAGGAGGGTGCACTCTCAAATTCAACACCAGTGTGCAACCCTGAGAGTTTTTTTTTTAACAGTCTTGCATCAAGCCGGATTCTTTTTCAATGTAATAAACACAAGCAAACAAAGTAGGAAGAGTTAGGCCTTTAGTACATCTATGCAGGAAAAACAAATCATGCCAATACAGCAGCCCTACATTAAATTTTACACCAGTGTGTTTGGGGGGGGGGGGTTTAGAAGAAAATGAGTTAATGTTAACTATTGCACTTAAATAATACTTGAAGTCAGTTATAAAGCATAAATATCAAACAGCTTTTTAGTTCCACTTCTGAAATTTTGAGGGATTTTTAATATATTTTATTACATATGAAACATCTCAAACTCAAAGTTTCATCACCCTGAGTTTAGAGAAATTTTGAAGGACACTTTGTTTTCACTAAATTTGAACAGTGAATTAAATAATAAACACAATAACTGCAGGCGACATCCCTGTTCGGGGTCGCTCTATAAATGGTGAGGACATATTAGGTGGACTCCAGTGTGAGGTATCACTCCTATTCACTGCTGTTTATAACATGACTATAACGCTAAATACAGGCCATATAACTAAACGGGCTGTGGGGGCAGAAGCTTTCGCTTTAAGTTAAATAATTTATAATTTTACTGTCTTTACAGACACCTTTATTGACACGCTTTATTCTAACATTAAAAAGATGGCGCTACAAGCATATTCGAGAGAAGCGGCTGGTAATTTTTCCGCAGGCCATCGTTACAAAAGAGAAGGAGATTATTCTGAGACCGTAGGACGAACTATGTTTGTCCACCAAATGAAATGTGGGCTGTTAATACTTCTGTATATGTTTACAGATCTCACGTGAACACTTGAATTGATCCTCACCTGTAGGGCAGTCCTGCTAAACTCATTTGGAGTATCAGGATGCACTCTGCATTCCTCCAGGATCCTCTGCACCTCGCTGGTGTTCCCTTTGGCTGCTGCCGCCGTCAGAGCTTTGCCGGCATCCATCTGACTAAGGACCATTATAGTCTGCCTTCCTGCCTGCTCGAAGAGAGACGTACCACAGTTACGAGGAAAGCAAAACAAACACGATAAGAGGGAGAAAAAAAACCAAACTGAGGCTGGCAGGTTATTGTCGCCTACAGCTAACGTTACTACAGCATCCGGCTAACGTAAGCCGTAGTTCCCCGCTGACGCCATGTTATATGACTCCGTGCTTACTATTCGGAGTTCTGCCGGCCGCTTTAACAAAGCGTACTGCTGAACAACACAAATATAAGCTCTACCGCCAGAGGCAAGTCAACTGAAAGACACAAACAACTAGCCTCCCGGCTAACAGCTAACGTTAAAAAGAGAGCTAAAAAAAACAAAACGAAAGCGCATTCAAGCTACCTGGTTTACTTCCACAATATCCAACGCGTCGCCAAGATTTTCGACCCCGCTGTCTCCACGAACCAGTAATTTTTAAAAGTAATTTAAACAACATACGTTTATCAACATTACAAAATACATTTGCGCGCTGAGCGCTATACAGCGGTGTCTCCAGACTACAATTTACAAACATTGGGGAGAACATACGCTGGCCAATCGCAGCTCGCCAAGAGGGTGTTGCGCTTCCATATATGGTAAATCGGGAGGAGTTACAACTCTGTTACTACGCTGTCACTGTGGTAACAGGAGCATTTGACCAATCGGCGCACACGGCTAAGAAAGCGGGCGATTCGTATACGTTGAGGTCTTCAAAGGCAGTTCATTCAGATTTCTAACCTTCGAGTGTATTTCTCCAGAGGCAAGTGTGGAAAAAGGCGGGTGTAAGCATTTAATTTTGGGCGGAATTTAGCGACTGTGATTGCACAAAGCCTTACTACAATACGATGGCAAAATCCACCTTGTGTGGTGTTTTAAACTCAAGAGAAAGACAACGTTTTTCATTAACACCAAGGTTAATGATTACAAACTGTTCTAAGTGAATCATTTTATTAATTTAATAATTAAATAATTTGCAGTGCTCACACAATAGAACATCACAATCAAATTGCTCATAGATTTAAAAAACACAAAACAACACACACAAGATCAATGTTACACAGAGCAGGTGAAAATTTAAAGACATTCTTTCAGTCTAGTTAAAGTGATCATTTATGCTCCTTAGGAAGTCCTTGAAGTGAGGAAAATGTATTCAAGTTTCTCCACAGGTGTTACACATTAGTCCTCAGCTGGTAATCTAAAAAAATAAAATAAATAAAGAGAGTTAGAAAGGTTAAAATTGGACTCAGTTATTGCATCTGGGTAGGTCACTTCCTGCTTGGTACAACCAAAGTCCAACAGACTACTAATATACCTCCACTTTGTGTTATGTAGCGGACCCACGGTAAAGCCTGGTACCCACTTTTTTCTATAATCTTCATATACCGCACCTGGTGGAAAAAAGCAGCAAGACACATTTGCGTAGTTAAAGTCCAGCTTCCCACAATCATTACACCAATTGATACTGGACCAAAGGGGTGAACTACGAAGTGAGATTAATGGGTTAGTGAGCTATGCTGAGCTTAAAGAGCCTTCTGTGCCAGGAAAGTGGCTCACTTTATGCCTGGCTAAATCACGTGTTCAGAGGTTTTGCTTAAAACCGGATGAAAGTGCGATCTTTTATCTACAGCATGTTTTAAGTGCGTCATAGATTCTCTGCTGGGGAACCATTTACATTTAATATTTAATACTTTAGAGTCTAAATGTATCCAGTTTAATGTCCAGTCATCACCTTAGAAATGAAGAGGATCGCAAAAGAAACTTACGGATGAATCAATTAAATGCTTATTTTAACCTTCTCTGTAATTGCTAGATTAACAATTGCCTGCAATATTGCATTTTATTATTATATTTAGATTTGTAATTGCCATGTAATTATCGTATGATTGTGATAACGTCTCTGATTGGAGTAGGATAGTAGTCATTTTGTGTGGAAGAAAAGTCACACGACCCATGAAA